AGAGAGAGAGAGAGAGAGAGAGAGAGAGAGAGAGAGAGAGAGAGAGAGAGAGAGAGAGAGAGAGAGCTGAGGGCGGTGTGACCGGTCAACAGAACTTTACCTGTTGTTAATCGGATCGGTGAAATTGAATATGTGGATGGCGTTTGTGGCTGGTTTATTTTAAGTTTAGCGATTCTGTTTTCTACTCTTTCTCGGTGATGATGATAATGTTCTTCGAATCGTTGAAGATTCGTTGCTGTTTACTATTCTGTTTGTGACCATGTATGACCTTGCTGTTTGTGACTATTGCTCTTTACTATTCTTCTTTCCACAAACACTTAGGAAGACAGAAGACGCCAAGAGCTAAAACAGTGAGACAGAAAGCACCAGCCATACACTAACAAAGAAAACATAGAGTCAGAGACAGAAAGAGCGAATTGAGATTCTTCATTGGGGTTGCTTTCTGACTTTTTTCGTGGGCGGAGCTGCGCTGGCTGCACCTGCTTGTATATATACATATATATTGTCACAAGAGTATCAGACCGCAAATGCGAACAAAAAGAACAAAAAGGAAAAAAGAAAGGAAAACAAGAAAAGATTAATTCAGTTTTTTATCTTCTTCCTTACAACTCCCCCTGTTCAGAACCTCTTGCGTACAAGGCCGCCCATGTGGATGTAGGTTGAGCGGCGGCTGCCCCCACCCCCGTGTGTCATATCGACCCACTTGCACACAGCCAAAAGGCAAAGAGGCAAAGAAAAGAGGAAGGGAACAACCAAATAAAACAGAACAGGGGGCAACAAAACAGATCCCAGATGACAAGTCCCACATGCAAGCACCGCCCCAACACACACAAGCCAAACGGCGGGACAAGACCAACCAGGATGTCAAAACATTCTTGTCTGCAAAGAAATAAAAAGAAGTCCCAGATACATATCTATACACAGCAGATGGCCTTGTTCGACATTCCTATTCGGCGTCATCGTAAGCAATTCATACCGGGACATCATAAAAAACAGTCCTAGACGACGATTCCCACATCAAAGCACCGCCCCCATTGATAGGCCGAACAACGGGAAGCAACCAACTAGGATACCAAAAAGAACCTGGAGGACCGGTATGAAAGGCAATCATGGATGACGATTCCCACATAAAAGCACCGCCCCCATGCAGGCCGAACAACGGGAAACAACCAACATTGTCGCCACCTTCTTATGTATCATGCGACACCAGGCGATGACCTTAATGACCATCCTCATATTTCTGCCTGTATTTTGCACAGACCCGGGCATTATATGGCACTCGTTCGTGCAGCTGCCCAGTGGGAACTGTGGGATGGTGGGACACCGATGCAGGCTATTTTCAACATAAATGAATTTCTGTGTGCATTACCGAATCATACTTTATTCTGGTGTGACACCTGTCGGGACAGGGACGCGGTGCGTCTTGGCTGCGGAATCCATCACYTATGCCATCAACATTATCAATCTATTGCAGCCGCCGCCGTCTGTGCCGAAGGGTGTCCAACATTTCCTCATTGTACACATCCCTATCACCCAGATTTTCGTTGTCCCTTTTGTGCTCAAGGACGCTATCAGGACTGCATGATGGCGCACTGCGATGAACGTCCTGCTGTTTTTTTGACATGTGGACAGCATGTCGTTTGTCAGGACTGTTTTGATGAGATGGTCCGTGCTAGCTGTCCTGCGGAATGCTGTGCCAAAGTAGCTCTCCTTGGGTATCCTTGTGAACATCCACGTCATCCTCAGCTTGCCTGTCCTATCTGCCGCGGTGGGGGCTCCTCTTCCTAACTGGTCAATAGAATCAAGCGAAATTTCTGGAGAAAAGAAAAAAGAAAACAAGAAAAAAAAAAAAAAAAAAATGTTGAACTTGTGACAATGGCAATTGGTTTATCTGTGGGATGTATCATTTGCTTTCTTCCTTTGTCTTTTCTTTGACCTTTCTCTTTCTCTTGCATCTATGAGGTCTGGTTTCCTCCTCCTTTACTTTACCTCTTTGCCTTTTGGCTGCGTGCAAGTGGATCCTTGTGACACACGGGGATGGAGGCAGCCAGCGCTCAACCTGTCATCCACGTGGCTGGCCTTGTACGTAAGAGGTGATGAGCAGGTGGGGCTTTCCTTCCTTACTTCTTTTCCTTTTCTTGTTCTGCTTTTCCGTCTTTATATGTTGTCACACTGTGAATCGGAGCGCGAAGGTGAAAAAAAGCAAAACAAGAAAAGGAAAAGAAGTAGGAAGGAAATCCCCACCTGTTCATCACCTCTTACGTACAAGGCCAGCCACGTGGATGACAGGTTGAGCGCTGGCTGGCCCCATCCCTGTGTGTCACAAGGACCCACTTGCACGAAGCCAAAAGGCAAAGAGGTAAAGAAAAGGAGGAAACCAAACCTGACAAGGAAAGAAAGCCTATCAGTCGAACAAAGCAAATGACACATCCCACAGATAATCCAATTGCCACAAAGCAAATAACACATCCCACAGATCAACATTTTTGTTTTTTTTTTCTTGTTTTCTTGTTTTTTTTTTTGTTTTTGTTTTTTTCCTGGCAATTTGTACTTTTTTTCATTTTTTTCTTTTTCTTCTTCTTTCTTTAACTCCGTATCTGTCGGTAGTGTCGAAGGCTTTATCTGTCCCCACCTTGGTAGATAGGACAGCTACGGCGAGGATGACGTGGATGTTCAGAAGGATAACCAAGGCGAGCTGCGCCAGCACAGCATTCAGCAGGACGGCTAGCACGAACCATGGATGACGTGGATGTTCACAAGGATACCCAAGGAGAGCTGCGCCAGCACAGCATTCAGCAGGACGGCTAGCACGAACCATGCCATCAAAACAGTCCTGACAGAGGACATGTTGTCCACATGTCAAAAAAACAGCAGGATGTTCATCACAATGCGGCATCATGCAGTTCTGATAGCGTCCTTGGGCACAAAGGGGACAACGTATATCTGGGTGATAGGGATGTGTACAATGAGGAAATGTTGGATACCCTTCAGCACAGATGGCGGCAGTCGCAATAGATTGATAATGGCTATGGCATAGATGACACATCCCACAGCCAAGGCACACCGCGTCTCTGTCCCAGCAGGTGTCACACGAGAGTCGGTCAATATCCATAATAAAGTATGATTCGACAATGCACGCAAAATTTCATTTACGTTGAAAATAGCCTGAATCATCGTCTCACCATCCCACAGTTCCCACTGGGCAGCTGCACGAATGAGTGCCATATAATGCCCGGGTCTGTGTAAAATGCAGGCAGAAATAAGAGGATGGTTATTGAAGTCATTGCCTGGCGTCGCATGATGCATAAGAAGGTGGCGACCATGGAACGCTAACTGTAAGACATTTACAGTAAAGCCTCTTGAGGTAGTATAGTTACTACCTTCAGGAGGTGGACTATTATGGTCATGCAACAACTGATTTTCAACAGCGTCAAGCTGATACGCAATCGTAAGAAATTGGGATGCACTATAACGTTGACGCTGATAAGACTGTAGGCAGACATTTGTGGCTGTCAAACCACAAGMATTTGGTAGGTCTGCCCGCAGATCCGAATCGGTCACCACTGGAAAGCCAGATCTGATCTGGCGGGGTCGGCACGTAAATGACGAACGCAGTCGACGTGGCAGAGCAGGCTGTCGGTAAGACAAAGAACCTCGCAAATTAGCATCAACACGACGTCGAGAGGAAGGGGGAGTGGGAGGAGGAGAGAATGAACGGGCCTGCCGATGTCCCAATATGGACAACGAAGATAAAGGAGGGGCCGGTCTCAGCCGGCTTGGGGAAGAGGAAGACAAACTAGAGGAGACAAATGAGGAAGACGAAGAAGAAGAGGACGAAGGAAAGGATGATGAAGAAGAGGTGGAAGAAGAAGAAGAAGAGGAGGATGCAGGCAAAGAGGGAGGAGAAGGAGATGGAGGGGGAGAGGGAGAGGAAGGCAGAGGGGAAGGGGAAGGGGAAGGGGAAGGAGGAGGGGGAGAAGAAGGGGCAAGTGGAGAGGAGGAGGGGGAAGAGCGGGGAGGGG